CATTCAACACCCACAAGAAAATTGTATGGGCCAACTACCTTGCTAATGAAAGGAAGACTCCAGATTTCAGGGAGCACTGGAGAAGCAAAGAGAACACTGGGACGATTTCGTGACCTTCAAGGATTCAGAATTATTTAAGGAACGGTCGATGAAAAACAAGGCAAATGCCGCAAAAAAGACGCAGTTCCATAGGCTGGGTCCAGGTGGCTACGCGGTGGGATTGCCTAAGTGGGATAAGTATGAGCAAGAGATGGAGGATGCAGGGGTCACTCCGGTTACTAGGAACTGGCCCCCAGGTGCAGAACTTGGTTCTATGCGCATGGGGGGGCGTTGGACCCGAAGACAGGCGAAGTTTCGCGGAAGGCAATTCTAAAAGAAGCCAAACAAAAGATAATTGACATAATAGAAGAAACTCAAAGGGGGGTGTTCACGCCCAACAGAGAGAACGATAAGCTTACGCGCGCCCTGGGAAATCCTGAACACCCAGGAAGAACACGAGGCAAGGGCGTTATTCCCTGGTATGAGGGATTTTCAGAATGGAACGAGGACTACATGACCCGTGCAAGATGGAAGATGGAGGAGGAGAAGAAAAGGAAGTTGGAGGAGGAGCAGAGGAAGCAGGACGCAGAACGCCTTCAAGGCCTAGAAGCAAGGCACGCGAACCTGGCACTCAAATTTCAGGAGCAGCAGCATATCGACTCACTTAGCCAGGAAAGGGGGTCTCAGCAGTGGCAGCAGCAAGCGGATGATCATCCAGCATTGGATAGCACCGTCCCATCCATGCCGAGAAGCAGCGTTGGTTCTACCCCGGGTGACACACTGCTGGATACATACCCTGTGGATGACATCATAGAGAACACTAACTGTGAGCTACACTCCAAAATGAAGAACATATCCATGAAGGTGGCGGACGGCGTTGCTTTTCCAGTTACCCCCGAAGCAACCTTCCACTGCATCCCGATTTAAGAGGGCTATGCTCGTGTCATGGTTGATGAAGTGGTGGACCCATATTCGGGGCTACAGCTTGACATTCCTGGAGGTGAAGACGAGTGCACACTGGGAGAGGCCATACATCATATCATCCTATGGAGAAAGGATTGCATCATCTTTCGAAGTCCACCGACACTGCGTCGTCTGCCGACTCCTCCTCGAAGTCCGCCATCGAGTCAGCAGACTCCCGCTCCTCCAAGTCCACGAACACGTGAGGCGACTCCTCCTTGAAGTCCGCCACCTCTTCCAAGTCCCCGAACGCGTGAGCTGACTCCTCCGATTTCAAGTCCGGCACAGCGTCATGCCACTTCTCCGGTTTCAAGTCCGGCACCGTGTCAGGCCACTTCTCCCGGTCCAACTCAGCCACGTCAGCTGTCTCCGCCGTCTCAGCAATCGCAGAAGAGACATGCCGCAGCTTTGGTGCGTAGCGGTATGAGTCGAGGTAGTTCAGGAAGTACAGGCGGAGACAAGCGATATAAATATGGTCCAAGCCTCGCTCCTCTTCCTCAGAGGCCTTACGACATGACTAAGGAGCAAAACACAGCCATAGTGCAAGCCCAAGTGGACGCCCATTTTGGACCGAAACCGGCACCGCCGCCAAAGGAGAAAGTGCCTGAGAAAGTAATTGACCACTTCATTCGTATGGCTAGAGAACCAGCTCCCAAGCCTGTTGACTCGGACTATGAGCACCAAATCAGGAAACTACATCGAGAATGGCTAAAGAAGGAAGCGAGCTCGAGCTCGAGCCAACAAGCAGCTGGCAAAAAATGCGGGAAAACCGTTCCCCAGTTGGGAGAACAGGCGGCGCAAGCGATCCCCCCGCTTGTTGTGCCACCAACACATGAGAGGTGTACGCGCGCCAAATATTATTGTGGGCAAACCGTTAGCGTTCCCCAGCATGGCGATGTGGTAATAACGGAGGATCATATAATGCAGGCTCAAATGCTCAATATGTCTGTTGGACAACTCCTCGAAATCGACCCCATGTCTCCGCTTAGAGAATCGGAAATAGCACGGAAATATGTCTGGGGCCAACCTTTGGTCCATCCAGACAAGGTCAAGGACCTCCCAACGAGAATGTATCAATCGCATCAATGGTACATGAACATTACCAAGATTTCCAATCGAGAGTCCCTCATGTTGAATGTCAAGCATGAGCATTATTACCATGAGAAAGCTCTGGCCATTGAGTATCCATAACTATTTTAGTTATACAATCAAGACGCACTCGACAAGTCTATCGTCAGTTGCTATTGTCTGTAAGTGATTTCTTTCTGTAATTTAAGTCTCAAGCTAGTTATGTAGTGATAATTTTGATCAATCATTACATGTAATTCTCCTCAGTATATTCTTTTTTTGTGGTATTATATGCAGGATGAAGATGTATGAAATGAAAAAATCTGGACGCTATGGCGTTGGGTTCATTGACCCAAATACCATTAATGAGAACATATGACAGATTGAATGTTATCAAGATGATGTAGAGGAAAGCATGTTAGAGTTCTTGAAGTGCCTCAATAGCAATGAAGATATACTACTTCCTTACAACTTCCCGTGAGTCACACTGTCTTGTACTACAAATTCTGTTTTTGCTTACTAGCTAGTTAGATGTTAATAATTAAGTGTATACGGTTTACGGTAGTTGATTAATTTTATGCACACGCCCGCTTAATTAAGACATGCAAACGTGTGCGCATGTAGTTGACACTGGGTCTTGTTAGACATTAAAGTTGAGGAAGGAAAAGTTGAATTACTGGACTCATTAACTAAAGCAAATAAAGACTTCACCATCGTGAAGGGGATAGTCAACAGGTAATTTCAGTCATTATTAACTATATCTCGGCCTATTATTAGTTCGTCATTTCCTGATATGAACTATTTAATAACCCCTTTATTAATTTTCTTTGCCGGCGGGCAGGACATGGGCAAAGTTCATCAAGGTGACTCCAGGCAAGTGGACAAAAAAGTTGTTTTGGCATCGACCAAAGGTAATTAATTATGTAGTACTAGCTAGCTACCATCTCTTTAATTCTTGTTTCAATATCATTAATTAATTATCATGCTTGATTAATCATTATCTGATTCAATTCCATTCTCGTAAAGACCCTGAAGTAGGTGCCGGAAAATAATTTGTGTGCATTCTACGTTTGTGTGAACATTCGCATGATGACGTGCGAAAGGAGCAGATCTGATAGACAGGACTGGCTACGTTTGTCAGAACACTATTCACACCATTACCGATATCTAGTCACACAACTAACACACATGCATATTGATCTCCTTAACAGTTCAGAGAGGTGCGGGATAAGCTCCTACCATCAGACCGCATACTAGCACTTAAAGAGGAAATATCCGAATTTTTGCTCGACCAGGTCATAGATCCCAAAGGAGAATACTATTACCCGCTACCGCCCCCATGAACCACTTGTCATCATGCTCCGGAGGCACCAAAGGCAACATATGTAGAAGAAATTATATATTTATATACATATCTGTATGTGTGAATAATTAATGGTGTTGGTTGTGAGACATTTACGGTTCTACGTACGAGAAAATCTATTTATATATATGCATAACGTGTACAATTTGTAGTATTGTGAAATACCAGCAAACAAAAAAAATTGAATGGAAAATAAAGCCAACCCCCCCCCCCCCAAACATTTAGTACCGGTTGGTGTTACCAACCGGTACTAATATCCTACGTGCACACGGGTCTGGCTTGTGCCACGTGGTGTCACTTTAGCGCCGGTTCGTGACGAACCGATACTAAAGGGGGGCCTTTAGTCCCCACTCTTTAGTACAGGTTGGTAAACCGGCACTAAAGGCCGTTACGAACCGGCACTAAAGGCCGGTTCTGCACTAGTGGTGTGTTTATCTAGTTGCCACGTTCGTCTAACTACAGTTGCCATCCACAACGTAGGAGTGTCGTGTGGGCGAAAAGTAGTTCGCCCACACACGCATGAACTAGGTGGCGGGCTGTGTGGGCAGAAACTAGTTCGCCCACACAACGCAGCTGGCAAACAGCATGGTGCGAGCGTGTGGGCAAACTCTCCAATGCCCACACACCAGCCCCGTCCTACGTGGCACACAAAATCAATCTTTTGTGTCAAGATTCGTGCAAAAGACACTGGACGATGATTGAGGCGTGTGGGCGAGTTGGGTAACGCCCACGTGCGGGCGTTAGTGTATCCGAACAAATATTGTGTCCTTCGAGGGTAAAAATGTCTCCAGCTTTCGGTGACTTTCCCCAGCATACCCTGGGGACAATACAGCAATATAAATATGCAGCAGCTGGGTCCCTGGAGAGGAGCGGTACACAAATTCCACACGAGACGAGGGGAGTAGCGGGAAAATCCAAGGCTCGGCGGAGGGGCAGAAAAGGCAGTTCGGAGGGGAAGAAATGGGGTTCAAGATAAAATTCAAGAACCTTCTGCGCGCGGCATCCGCCGCGGGAAGCAGCCGATACGGCGGCGGCGCCGCCGAGGCTACACCGACGACGCCACCACGGGTTCCGCTCCCACCGCCGCCAGCATCGCCCATCTCACCGCCCCCGCTTCAGGCGCCACGACCCCCTCCGCGTCCCGCCGGCAAGGACACGGTGAGTTCCAGCGACCTTTTCGCCGAGATCTCATTCGTCTGGCGAAATTTGGTGCTTCTGGATGTTCTTTATGTTTCCGCGTCTTTCTTGTGCACAGTTCGCGGTGGACATGTGCTCTTGGCTGTCGCATGTCGGATCGGGCGTGCGTGGTGCTAGTTCGTGGGGACGATTTCTTTGGCTGTAGCATCGGCCGCGGTCGTAGGTTCCTATAATAATTAGTTTAATTCTTGGATGGACTGGTTTGGTACTCGCCGGCCCTTCTGCTAGTCAGTGTTGTGCTAGTTCTTGTGCCTCATGTAGTTCTTGCGCGGTTCTTTGAATTCTTGGATGGATTGTTGCATACTCGCGGACCCTTCTGCGAGTTCGTCTGCCTCATGTTGTTTCTGAATTTCTTGCCGTTGCCGAGGGACAAATGGTCGGATTTTCTAATTTACCCAAAATTGTGTCCTGCCAGCAGTTCTTGGTATAATCGGTTGACTTGGTAACCTAAGGATATTTATGGCAAGAGAACCTAAGGATTTCCCTCCGTAGTCCGGACGGCATGTTCTGGTTTTGGCTGAACATTTTTCTTGTTTCCCTGTTCACCCCATTTGTGCTGGAAAGAACATTTTACAGGTGAAGTAATGCTCTGCCATTTTGTAGGATGAAGGACCGGACGATGAGAATTCGCAGGAGGTGGCAGATGATGAGGTGCAAATCTCTGTTCCCTTGCTGCTAGTTCTTAGTTCAATTCCATGACTTCACTACCGAAATTTGTGTTACACTTGAGTTGTTTGTCCAATGGTTCTGAATCTGAACCTAGAGAAGGATGTCTCGTCAGTCATAACTCATAACAGTGTGCGATTTCTTTTGTACTTGTTGATTGTATTCACTGGAGTCCGAATCAGTAACCACGCTTGTTTTGTGTAATAACATAGCATACTATCGGCCTTATTTGTGCTAGAATAATGGATGTGCAATTATTTAGGATGAAGTACCAGATGATGAGAAAATCTACACTTCGTTGTTCATGAGCGGTCAAAGAAAAAACCTCCCGCATGATATTCTTCGGCATGACTCAGTGTCGCTCAACTAAAATGAATATTTTTCCCCAGCGCAAAAACTGGAAGCAACTTCTGGATGGCAAGCGAACATACCTCCGACCACCAAGGGAGCACCATGTTGTCAGTGATGTTTTCAAGTGTCCAGATACTCGTAAAGCTGCATTAGGACGCCAGGTGTGAATATCGTTGCTCCTCTGTTTTTTAAGTCACCAGTCATAAATTGCATGTTCACCACGATGCAGTGGATTCTTTTATTGTGCTGATGATCATACCATCTGACCTCCTGAACGTCCTAGCAATACACTTCAGTAGATAACTAGATATTCGAAAATTAAATCTATAACATTTCCAATGAGCTTCTTCAGTATCCCAGTCTCTGTTCCTTGTCTAAGACAAATACTACTATCATAAAACTTGTCATTTTTTTTGCGGGAATAAAATTTGTGAGTTTATTCTGCTATACCATCTGGGGTAGACGTTGGATTCTTTCTGAAATTCTTAGATATTCGTTTCTTCTTCTTCTTCCAGAAAAATCATTTTGTTAGACGTTAATCATTATACTGTGCAATTACAATGGAAACTGGAACTTACTCTTCGCATTCGGATGTTGATAAGGTCATAATGTGTCTTGCGGACAATGAGAGTTTGGGTATAGAAGTTCTTAACTTCTTATAAGTTCTTGCTCCAGGCATATTTCATCTATCTAGCCTGTTTGCACGTTATGATTGATGACCCTTGAATGTTGGAACATTATTTTTTCCCATGAAGTCCTCAATTCATTTTCCCACCCAATTTAGTGGATGATTCGTTTCTGAAAACTATAAAAGAATCCGTTAGGCTTACCGATTCTATGCCTCATGCTTCAGCATTACTTATTTGAATCCATTTTGAATTTAAAATCACACAAATCATTTACACCATTTCTGTGATACTGGTTTTTGCTATGGTAGAAACGACTCTCGCGTTTGGTTGAGAAACATTCAAAGAATTTCTTCAAGGAAAAGATCAAGGTTTGTTTGCATGCAACTAATTTCATGGCAGAAGGCTAGAAACATTATTTAGTTTATTGTGCACATCTAAACTTCCTTTTATAGATTCTCTGTCAGCATTATGCGCACTTCAGAAGAACTCGTGGAGATGGCAGCTGTTTCTACAGGGCATTCTTATTCTCCTACTTGGTAACTATCTCATTTACTTGTTTTTGATGATGTCGCTGTTTTATTTGGCAGAGAAGTTTAATACCAGGAGGCTTTTAAACAGGAAAACCTTGGATTAATGCAAGATAGTCAAGCTGAAGTTACTCGTCTAATGGAACATGTGGCTATGTCCAGAGAGAATTTCTGTCGTCTGAAATGGGATAAAGCATACTTCTTAAATCCTGAAGAATACTTTTCAAGTGTTGTTTCTGTATGTATTCTCCCAGCTTACATTATCTTACTTCCTTTATGGTCTGTAATTCTATTTTTTTTTGTAATACTTCTGACATTTACAGACAAATGAACTCTGCATGAAAAAAATACTTGCCAAATTAACTTGTTGTCCCTTATGTGTCCTGAATTGTCCAATGCCCTCGCTGAGGCTGTATTGGCAGTTATCTTACCCCATGCTGCATCACCAGAAAATATCTTCGATAAAGAACAACACCACCACAATGTTTTCACCACATATTTATTATTTGACTGAACTACAGTGAGCCTTGCTTGAACCAATCTATTGGATAGCATATGTAATATGTAAGAAGAGTATAGAGGGTATAGAGGAAACAATACTTATGAGTTCGATGGTTTTTGGCACATGTATAATGGAGTTATTGCTGCTACTAGAATAGCTGCCATAGTTGTGATCACATAATTTAGTCAATACGATAGGGTTTCATGTTTGTAAAGAATTAGCCGGCTATTTGAAACATTGAGTATGTAGACAAAACAGACTTCAGAGATCAAAATAGTACATGTGTGATATATCATCATTTTCCATTTGACTTAAACCTTCACTTTCCGGAATGTTTTTTTTTTTGCCTTGATAAATGTTAAATTGGTTCATTATGCGTACAGTATGGACACTGTCTCGCAGCTTAAGTACCAATTCCTGAAATAACATCCACTACAAATAGTACTGACTGCAAAAATAGTGCAGGATTATGAGCAGTTACAACAGCATTTTGCTAAATTATAGATTTTCATTTCATGATATAGCTTAAATTATATGCCTAACAAACTGTCTTCATGTTCTTTCAGGAGTTCAGTCATTTGGTTAACTCAGTTGCGAATGGGTACGAGTTCTTAACTTAATGTTCTGTAGTGATATTCCTTGAAAGGACATGGCAATAAATTTCAAAATCCTGTTGTTTCTTTGTTTTTAGATTTGGTTTTAAAACAAGTGCTTTTATCTTTTGCAGTCTGAGTTCTGATGAGCTGTACAATAGAAGTATACAGGAGATCGTGCCACTCAGGAGTGAGTATACATGCTTGCTGAGATATTTTGTTTGTCTACTTGTTCTCTGTATAACACATTTTTTTGTTAGTTATTTCTTTGCTAAGATTGCTGGCAGAGACTGAGATCCGATCACGAGAAGACGATTTCAAATCACTTCTCCCAAAAGAAATGGATGCCCTTACGCTTAGAGTTTCCTACACTATATATTCTTGACTCAACTAATAGATTATCTGTCCTTTATGTTGTAACTAGAACATAAAAAGCGCGCGTTGCCGCGCCCGTCAATTATAAGGTAGAATGAAGGTAAAATATAACATTTGAATAATACAATTACCTGAAAATAATTGGATGTTAGATTTCGGAAAATCTCTTCCAAAACTGCTTGGGTCAGTGATGTAGATCAAGGAAAAAAATCTATGTTTTGTTCAAGCTAGAAAATATTCTGATTTCACTAAACTGTCGGTTCAAATGGGTCACACTAATGATGCATACATATTATCGTGGTGTTTACAAAGTTTCCGTTCAAAATTGAGCATACCGTGATACCACTGGCAGATCTACCATCTCTCCCGCCTTATGTGAGATAAGTTTCTATAGTGAGTTTGTATGAAAAATTAAAATTAATAAAATCGTAGACAATCCAGGCTTCGAGAATTTTCTCGGTTTGCAATGTGTTTTGAATTAAACGGCTCCAGCTTGTGCATGTGTACATGTGACTTCAGCTCACTTGCCGTGACTTTGTTATTCGCTCAAAGAGTTATACCTCCTCGGACGCTCTATGAAACCAAAAACTCCTCACTATCATCTGTTCATGTTGGTTCCTGCGTACCACAATTAGGATATGAAATCTATACAACAAAACAGAAATTTTCATATAGCCTTCAAATGTGAAGATAAGATAAAGTTGCTAGAGACATACCTTACAGGAACTCAGTTATGTTGCTGTCATAAATAATAATGCTTAGCATGAAGGTGGGAAGCATCTATTTCCATTCCTCCCATGCCTGTTTTTAAATAAAAATAAGAGCACGTTAGCAAGAAAAGAACCTTTCAAGTTTCAAGGATGCTGAATTAATCGGCAATGAAAACACACACCCTCATATAAGGCTGGTAATAACTAATATGCTCTCATGAGTAAACACGAGCTATAGTTACCACACTTGGCAAAGCTTAAGTACCAAAACAAACACATCCTCCAAAGCTACATCACTGCAGGCAGAGTAGAGCAGTATTTGCACACTTGTTTCTGCATACGGAGATTTTACCTCGACTGATGCAACCTTGAAATAGTGGACTAATCACAACCTAAATCTTTCCTGTAGAGCACGCGGTCCTTTTGGATTAAGGTAAAGTTATGATTTCCCTTCTAAACACCAAAACTGATATTTCATAAAGCATGCATCAGAACTGGTAAGCAAATCTTGCCTTATCATACATAATAGAAACATTAGCAACGAGAATCGGTACAGAAGATGGAGATTGTCTCATAATCTTGGGGCTCTTGATCTGTACTGTTTTTGGTCATTGATCTCATGGGGCAGCCGAGAACGCTAGCTACTTGGTTGAGAGGAAACTCTCAGTAATGAACAAACAGTACCAAAGTAATGGAGGGGGACGCCAGCAGAGGACAGCAGCCAGCAGGGAATGGACGGCGACGACACGTGCTGCCGCCATGGAGCAGGACACGGCATGGGAAAGAAGGGATCCACCATGGGGGGGGGGGGGTGCGGTGGAACAGTAGAGGGCACCGACTCCCAGAGGTGCAGTATAATCTCGCCGTCGGGAGGAACAGAGGAGCAAAGGGCTGGCGAGAAACGAAGGTGGAAGGTGGGAAGGCTTTGCACGTTCCACTGGACCTCCTGGGCCTTTAACCTACACGGCCCGATTACCCACACAACGCGCAGCTCGTTCCGCGGAGCAGGGGCCGGCGAAACGGCTACTCAAGCGGATCAGACTGTTGAAGGGATTATTAATTAGCGTAAGAAACCTGTGGGATGACCGAGCTCAAATCTTGGACGTTCGTGACAGTGATCCGACGACGGGGAGCTCCAAATCGCTGTGGTGGCTCATAGGTCACTGCGTTATACTGTTTTTTAATATTTTAATTCAATATCAACGTTGAGTATTTTCTATGCATAAACATGTAAACCTCAGTATTAAAATTGTGCCACTCTGGACAATTTTAATGTGAACTGAAATGAGATAATCATGAAGAATAAGTCAACCAATACAGATTACGCTCACTGTTGCATATTTTTGGTTTTGGTAACAGTATTGCTGCAAGGAGCTGCGTCCTCTGGATGTTGAAGCCGAGGTGCTACCAATGAGGGCTCTAACATATGCGCTTGGCATTCCGTTGCGTGTCGAAACTGTGGGCGAAGGTTCGGATCGTGGAATTCAAGTGGAGCGCCTTGATTTATTCCCCCGATCGGAATCGGGGAAGGGTCCTCTTCATTTGGTACAAAGCTACTGGTCATCCATCACAACCCCTGAACCACAGGATATCGGAAGTGGCAACTTGTTATCATCTGACGGCACACCTTTGCTGACATTGTTGTGTAGGCCTAGGCACTGTGACATTCTTTATCGCAGTGAACAAAACTAAGTGTAGAAATATCACTTCCTGTAGCCTACCTGGCAAGAAAAATACTGGATGACGGTGTAGAAATCTAGTGATACTACGGGCTTTCTTTTATTGGCATCTGCTCTCACAGTACTTGTGATTAATCTTTGAGCAAAAGCCAAAAGCTGCTTCGTTGGCTTGTACATGGTGTGTTCTTCTTGATGTTGTCCACAACTGCTTCTGTATTTGGTGGTATGCTAGTCGTTTTTTGTTTCTCTGAGGAGTTATTCGTTTTTTTCTTATATGATGCAAGTTGATATTAATTTACATCATCCGACCATAAGGAAAACTATAAACAATTCTGTCGATCCAGCACTTGTCAGCTCATTCTAAACATGAGATTTTGAGTCGACGATGACGATGAGTTGCATCTGTTGCAGATTGTCTGTTTCTCCTAGGCTCAAGGATACAGTTAATTAGAATGTAATTGCAGACTTGCACCGCATTGAAACTGAATCTGCAAGTATTGAACCTTTTGGGACGTACTGTTAATGAATCATGAATACCGCTGAAGCCTGTAGAGTGTAAGTGGATTATGCTGGAAAGTTTTCCAGTTTGGTCATATTCGGGTGAGATTGTAATCTCGAAGAACTATAATGTCCCGATAACAACAAAAACTATTCCTTGGTATATGAATGGTATCGGAGTCACCATTTTGCTCGCAAACCGTGCCTCAAACAACAATCGTTGCATGCTTGTCTTTTCTTCAATATGGGAATTTGTTGTCTTTTGTAGCTTTTTGAATGACACAATTGTCATGGTGTGGATCTGTTTCCCTGAGATTTGACCATTCTTCGTAGAAAATGTGGAGAAGTACTCTGCAAATTTAGTCGTTATGAGCAATACATATGTAAACATGTGAAACAATGGCTGGGTGATAAAATGGAAGCTGGCCAAAAGCCAGTCTTCGTGGATGATCATCTTGTTTCGATGAGGATATAATGGTTCAAAGTAAGTGGTAAGTACAAAAAGGTGAATAACCTCTCTTAAGCATAGATAATAAGAAACTAGTGAATAGCCAATTAGATGCGGATAGATGAGATAAAGGAATCAACCAATGGTTTCCTATCTGGTGCCGTTGTGGGCCCCCTTCCCTGGATGGGCCACTTTAGTGGCAGGAGGGCCGGTGAACCTTGAAACTATGCGCCTGGTGTGTATGAAATACGATTAGAGACTCGTCTGCCGCTGGTGTAGTTGAGGTGGCAGTGGTGGTGCAAATAAGGTTTCATCGACTCTTCTCAAATCGATTGCGTTCCTTGTAGTGACATTGAGGAACTAGAGGCTGATTTGCCTGTCGGCAATTCGGATTGGTGAGGTTAGGTATTGGTCTTGCATGTGTTTCTTAACGACGTTGTCCTGCGAAGGGGGATGGTCAAGTGACGATTTTAGTCACCAGCTATGTCCCCGACAAATAAAGCCCAGCCAGTTTTGGCTTCGTCTCGATGCTAGTGAGGTATTTGCCCCTGGCTTTGTCCGGCTAGATCTGGGGTGATTTTTTGACCCTGTTCGTCGCTTTCTTTTCCGATGCGACGGTGTGTTCGTTAAACAGTGGTCACCAATGTTTTCTATCTTACACCGATGACTTCCTCGCTACTTCAACACATATGTTCATGGCTTCGATGGTGATCCTTCCAAGGATCCACTCCACCTGCCGAGTGGACCGATCACAAGAGTTTGGGCGTGAAATTCAATGAAGTAATCCATATGTTGATTCAACAAGCCAAGCATATTCAAAGTTTCTTGAATAACCTACATGGAGGGTCATATTGCAGATTTCCTATATGTACAGATTTCCCAACAACACCAAAAAAGAGAGTAAAATAAGAATCTGCTTTGTTACTTATGTAATGGAGGGTCCAACTCCATTATCTTCTTTGACTCATGAAGCTACTATGGTCACTACTCACGTTTTCAGGATAGCAAGGTGCTCTCCTGTATTTGAATACTCACCTACGGCAGCTTTGATTGTTATTATTTTTGCAGGAGCTATGATGTCATCATTGTGGCAACCACTGGAATATGACAGAATGATCTAACGAGGGTCATAACTTATCCAACTTGCAGCCAATTAGGCATTTAGGCTACATGATCTTTCCTTGCGGCATGTCCGTGTAAAGTGAATATTAGGAGGGAGGTATAGAGCGAAATTCCCGTCTGGAGTATTCCAAAGGTGTAACCTATCTAGGCAATGAAAAAGGGGCCGGTACTTCAACTAAAGGAGAGACCTGTTGGTTTACCAAATCCCCACCCACTGTCACATGTTCCCTAGGTCTGAAGGGATCCAGTGCCCAACCGCGGAAACCTCCGGGAGTTGCATATTCGGAGGTCTAGAGCCGGCATCGAGCATCACTCATGGTGCATCAGCGAATGCAGGAGGAAGACGATGGAATTCCTCGGGTATTCGTATGCACATTTTTATTTCCTTAAAAACAATGTCTTTATCATGGTCGGTTTTTAGACATATGATCTTCAAACTTCGCGCAAAGGAAATAAAAAGGAACCTTCTTCCTCTCAACTATCGGATAGATTTTCTTCTTCAGAATTTGCCTTTTTTTAGAAAAGGAGGATGACCCCCGGCCTCTGCATCTGGAAGATGCATACGGCCACTTTATTGATTATTCACGATGACCATACAAAGTATTACACCAATGTGCCTGAATCCACCATCTTGGCAACATATGCCACTACTCCTATCCAATATGATGAAAGAGAGCTAGCCGGGCCACTACCCAGACCACTCACGTAATCCTAACATCAAAAGCCGGAAGCCGAAACACATTCGGAAGCCCCAGCCGAGCCACATACCTGGTCTGGGGCATAATCCGGTCAGACGCACTCGTGTGTCGTCGCCGCCATCTTCCACAGGTCCGTCTTCAGATCAAATTGAGGCATCTACCATGTCTGGCCACTCCGCCATTGACGCCACCATGACGCCAAACAGCAACCTCCTCCTGCGCGAGTCCATCTCCGTGCATCGGACGTCGAGCCTCCACAGCGCCACGCCGCCGACATCCGCCGCCATCAATGCGTGAGATGGAGCACCGCTCCACCCTCCCCCCAGCCAACGCTTACTCCAAAACGGCACCCCCAGGAGAACCTGGACGCGTCGGAGGAAAAGCGGAGGCTTGGGCGAAGAAGGGCACGCCGTCAGCAGCTGTTACCTACCCCAAACAGCGCCCGCCACCACCCAGCCCTCAAGGCGGCGCCTTCAAGAAGGTCACGACGCCAAAGACGCCGCCGCCGCCCACCGGAGTTAGGTTTTCACCCGAGAAGCTAGGTGGTGGGGAGTGGAAGGGCAGACCTTGACAGACGTCTCCATGAAGAAATCGGCGCCCGCAGGCGTCGTCGTCGTCGCGGCCGGCCGGAGCCGACCCGGGTTTCCCCCGATCTGGATCCCGACCACCAAAATCGCATCATTGGGAGGCCCTTAGGCGGCGGCATAGGGAGGGGAGGCGAGGGGTGCGGCGGCGGCGCTATGGGGCGTCACCACCACGCCAGATCCACCTTCCTCGCCGCCAACAGCAGCCGGCGGGCCAGATCGGGCGCGGACCAAATCTGGCGCCTAAGCACCCGCACGCCTACGCCGCAGCCACGGCCGGCCAAGCTCCAGGCCACGCCACTCCACCCACCACCAGAGAAGGAGGAGCGCGAGACGGAGCAGAGGGCCGCCGGGGAGCGCCGCGACGGCCGCAGCGCCGGAGGCCGAGCCTTCCCCACCTGGAGCGGTCGCCGTCGGGAACGACGCCGCGCGCGCGAGCGGGAAGCCCCGCCGCCGCCGTCCGCCGCGCGGGCTTCGCCCGGCGGTTTCCTCCGGCGGCGGCGCGGCAGGGGAGCCGGGGAGAGGGGGTGGCGGCGCGGCGGGCTAGGGTTCCCCCGAGTCGCCTCCCAGGCGACGCGGGGGTCGTTTCCTTGACGCTCTACCCTTGTGTTTGTTTCAGAATTTGCCTACTACTTGGATAGAATTTTTTAGGGGTATCACCAAGTTTTATTACTCAAAATCCACATGGAGTGGGATTACAAAAGGATCATGTGAATGGACGATACAAACATGTCATCCCTGATCAAGATAAATTGAAAACTTGGCTGACCTATCGTCGTCACCATTAGCTGCTCGACCTTCAATGGTAAAAATACAATTAAACATAGATGTTGTACTTCTGATCTCAGTGATGATAGTGCTATATGACCCATTGCTTCCATTCTGAATATCGCTCACCACTTCCTTTGAATCTGATGCTATGACGAAGTCATGTACCGTCAAGTCATCTGCCAATGAGAGAGCCTCTCGTCATGCTATGGATTCCATCCTGGCCACATGAAATATGCCATGTTGGGACATGACAGGTACGTGATCGAGTTGGGACATGACATGTGACTGATACGTGATCGAGTTGGGATGACACTGTCCGGCCCACATAGGGCACCCTTCTCGTGCCCCACCATTTTTTGCCCTAGTCGCCTCCCCAGTTTGAAAACTCCCGAAAGCCAGCCCCGACGGTCTCCATTTCGTGCAGGAAGAAACAGGGAAAGCAACCGCTCCCCTGCTCGGGCTCCCGCTCCCGCTAGGGTTTCCCCCACCGCCCTCCCCCGCTCCTGCCGCCCCCGGCCGCCGGCGGGCGCGCCCCGGCTCCCCCTCCCCCTCCCCTCCTCCCCCGTACCCCCCGCGTCGCCTCCCCGAGCGAGGCAACCGGGGGCTCCCCTTCCCTGCCCCTCCCAGCGGCCCCCCTCCTCCTATCCCCTCCCGCCGCCGCCGGCGTAGGCCTCCGGGCCTGGCTCGCGTGATGCCGGCGGCGGCGGCCCCGTTCTTTTCCTTCCTGCGCGGCGCTGTAGCTCGGGTGATGGCGCCGGCGGCGGTGCACCCAGACCGGCGTCGGATTCGGTGGCGGCTCGTCTTTGCAAGCGGCGCAGCTCCGGGTGGCAAGGTGGCGGTGGCGTGGCTGCTTGGCTGCGGGGCGACGCAATGGCGGGCGGCGGCGCCCTTC